GCAATCCCGTTGCCGGTCCCGGTCCGGTACGGGGGCGACACTGAGGGTTGCAATCCGTTGCCGGACACGGAAAAAGACAAAAAAAAAAAAAAAGTGTGAGTGTCGGTAAGTCCCTTCCTTCCCTTGTTAAAGGCATCAAAGGGCACAGTAGATGCAAAAGCACTCTTAAGTGAGAGAAGGGGCTGTCACAGGCTATTGGGCCAGGTGCATGGGACAGCTCAGGCTGCTTGCCTCCATGATGGTGACAGTAGCTCAGTACCTCACCAAGGGTAAAGAGCAGCACCCAGACCAAGAAGGGCAGATAGCCAAAGGGATAATCACACAAGGAGCAACACCAATGCCCAGGACACAGTTAAATTGTGATACCGCTCCAGGGTGGGTTACCTTGCAACCACTAGGATATTACAAATGATTTTGATTAACAGAAGTAAATATTATTAAGAGGGAGAAAACAGGGTTCAGAACTATACCTAAAGCATGTCTTCAACTTTATCTATATAATGTGTATAAAGAAAATTCTAAAGAAGTATACTAAAATGCCAATACGAAACTATCTTTGGACAGTTGATTTACCAGCAATTTTATTTTTCTTCCTGTTTGTCTACATTTTTCAAATTTTCCAAAATTGGCATGTTTTATTTTTATAACAAAGGTGGGCAGAGCAGGTAATTGTTAATTACTAAAGAAAAATCCCAAGCTGGAGAGGTTCAGCAAGCAAAACAAAGACAGGAGTGAGAGAGGTTTCATGCAAGACAAATACACAGAACAAGCAAACATCACAGCTGTGATGACTTCCCAGGGTGGTCCGGATTTATATTTAATCCTAGGTCATGCTTTCTCCTGCCTCAGTTTCTCCAACTATAGGAAAGGGGTGAGGGTGAAAGGGATGCTCTTCCTTGCATGGGAAAAACGGTGGAGTTTGATCTCAACTCTGCCCGATTCACTGAGGGCCTTGGTTCCACTCTGGGGGATACCGAGTGTCCTCTGCCCTGCACTCTAAGTGTGCCAGGCTCAGAGTTGCTGCTGAATGGGCTCCAGAGCCTGAGCTGAAGGACGGGCATAGGGCAGAGGACAGTGCGGGCACACCTGTTCCAGCCAGGCATGTTCCCTGTGAGTGGCTGTTTCAAGGAATTGCAAAACCCTTGCCACCCTGCCCATCCAGTCTCTCACTGGCAAAGCTTGCTCCACCTGGTGAGGGGGGAGGGTAGGGAACTGCCAGGGATCACGAATAGTACTGGGAGCTGGAGAGTTCTCCAATATCCCAAATAACTCCCACATCACAGATGAGGGAAACAAGCTGGGGGATGGGAAGTGATGTAATAGAGGTAGAAAAATATTGATGAGTGCCAAAGTGGAGAATGAACCCGGTCTTGACGAAGATGCCTGGCTGTCTAGATTAGACTAGGTAATAATCAGATTATATTCTTCCTTCATCCCAGACCCAAATGATGGCAGAAGGGAGAGAAGCCAGCTTCCCCCCCCGCCCCCCGAAAAAGGAAGGCGTTGGGACCTCGACCTGCAGTGGCCAGTCCTCCAGCAACGTGCGCGCATCTTAAGAACACCACCAGCCTGCCTCAGAGCCCTTTCCTGAAAATCTCCTCGCAGTTTCATAACCCCAGGACGAAAGCCGCCAAGGCCCTGCAGACCCCTCCGCTGTGACAGATCATCCCCAGACACTCACCCCATCTCCCAGACCCCTCTCGTGATAGTGCAGATCCTCCATTAGAGCTCTCGCTCCGGGCAGCCTCGGCCCGTCGCTCACCTCGCAGGACCCCAGAGTAGGCGGCTATAAGGGTCTTCATGCTGAAACCGGTGGAGTCACGGCACTGAGGGAAGCCGCCCTACCCTGCGCCCCCGTCCCATGTCCCGGCCGCCAGGGCCAGGGCTTTGCGCAGAGCCCGGGAGCCCAGGAACGGCGCCGACGCAGGGGCGGCTACCGCACAGGAAGCTGGAGGCAGGCGGCCCGTTGCCGCGCGCGCCGCGGCCGAAAGCGGAGCCGAAGCTGCGGC